AAAATTTCAGGGATGCTTTTTTCCCTCTCTTTTTTTTTTTTTTTTTTTGTAGAACAGTGGGCTTTTTCTTTTATAATCCAATTTTAGGAAAATACCAGTTCTATAATTATATAAAATTTGTAATCTGAGGGGCAGAAATTTATTGTAAATTCTTAACTTTTTATTGTAAAGAAAAAAATATACAGAGTTTAACAGACAGTTACGCCTTTCCCTCTCCCAGCACCAGCCCCCAAGGCTGCCTCTCTATTGTGGGGTAGCCCTAAAATTCACCCTGCCGCGATCTCTGTTAGCGGTTTGCCAGAGGCCCCGTGGTGCAAATTGCACCAGCTTTTATTTTTCACATAGGTGAGTGGCCCTGGAGGACTCCTCAGCCCCAGCACATGATTTTCATTATACGCTCAGCCTCCGAGAGCTAGGACGGGAGATCGCGCGCTGGGATGCGTGGTGTCCGGGGTTGTCCCTTTGCTGGGGAAGCGCAGGGCCAGCCTGTTACTAGCACTCCATGGTTTGCACTTCTAACTGCATCCGCAGTCAGCAACCCATCACTTACTGCCCATCGACTGAGCTTCTGTTAGCTAGACACTTAGGCATCTGTCTTTAAAAACCTGTCTTTCAAAGATCAGCATTTCAGAGCGTTCAGATGTGCGTCTCGTACAGCTGACGTGCCTCTGTCCGTGTCTTATCTGTATAGCAGCAGTAACGCACTCTCCACGCTTTGCTGTAGAAAAGAATTCCCATTTTTTTGCTAAGGGCCGAGAGCGCGATGCTGTGTTGCTGTGAGGCACTGAGTTCCTCCTATAAGTTGCTGGGCATCCTTGGCTCATTTTGCAGTCACCGGGGTGCTTGGCCCACTGGCAGGAGGCTCTCAAGTCTTTGCAGATAGTTTCCCATAGTATTTGAAAGTGGATGAACTAGGGTGATTCTTACTGAAATTAATGATTTTTCTTTTCCATTAACAATGTGGTTATTTTTAGTTCCTGTATCTTTTTAAATTCTGCCCTTAAAAAAAAAGTCTTCACCTAGACAGGTCCTTAGTAATATATTTTCCGAATTTACTATGAGGAAATGTAATATACACCTAATTAAGAGCTTAGGGTTTTTTAAAGGGCTTGGGTTTCATCTGTGTTTCTCCTGTTGTCTGAGACTTGCATTATCAAAACCAACTAGTATTTTAATTAAAATTGCAACCAATCCAATACCATGGCAACTGGGATAAACAAGCTCCTGCTTGAAACCTTTTCATGCATGCATTAACCTGAGCTATGCTGTTGGTGTAACATGGTGGTCACTCCCGTGTGGAGACCAAACAGCAGCCGGTGTTGGAGGCAATAGCAGCCCACCCGGCAGCCGCTCTCGCCAGCATCACCGCCGCACAAAGCCCGGGGACCTGGCTCCGCAGCATGCCACCATCCTCCGATGTTGGGGACAACCCCGCTAACCACAGCCAGGGTACGGGCGTTCCTCTAGGATGCATAGGTCTGTCCCACCGCAATCAGTGGGAAGGTTAGAGCCAAAGGGTTGGGGACCAAGCATGAAGTGGTGGAAGGGGGCCTGTCCTGGGGCTGTCTGCAGTGCTGGAGGAGGATCCTTGTTTTAGTTGTCAAACCTGTCCTAGCTTGGGGATTTGCAAGGAAAACAAGCAACCCAAACCACCAAGGAATATGAAGAACCACCTGCCTATCTTTGATATACCCAGCTGCAACTTGGGCTACCATTTAGTGGGAAACTTTGTTTGTTTTCATGGAAAGTAAGGTGTTCCCTATGAAATGGCAGTTCACATTTTGGCATGACCTTCATTACAGGAAAGAAACTGGTGACTCTTCATTTCAAAATGTTGTTCTTACACTTTTTCATTTTCACGTTGTTTGTAGTGCTCATTATCTCCTGACATGTCAGTAGTGGTGCCTCTTGTATCTCCAGATCAGAGTGTCTCCAGGAAAGAAGAGCTGTTTTCAGTCCATAGTAAGTAGCAGCAGCCCTTAATGAGTTGGAAGCTGAAACAATAGAGCATTTCTTTCACTGAGTTTGTATTGCATGACACGTCACTACAGATGTCATGGAATAACTTTGAAATGATCAAACATAGAACATTTGAAGTAACATTTTTAAACTTAAGAATAAAAAAAGATTGAATTTTTTATGGTTAGAATTTTTCTTGAACGAACAAAGTTTTAACTTTGTTTTCCAGGGGAAACTTCACTGAAATCAGTATGATTTCTTATGTATACGTACACACAAGTAGTTTTATTGAAACTGTTTTTTCTGACAAATTCCTGTTTGACAAAACAATATCTGACCAGACCTATTATCAATCAACCAGCATTACTGCACCTTTAAAAACTTTGTTAAACTTGATCTGATTGTAAGGCCAGCCTGTTTCTTGGCGTACCATCAGATGTAGGTTCAGTGGGACCAGAGGGCGATCCGCATCCCATGGGCACAGGCCCTGATCCATCTGCTAAAGGAATCTGTTGCGTACAACAGTTCTCTGCTAACCAAATGTTTTCTATACAAAATCATTTCGGTTTTGTATTGATGCGATTTTAAACTTTCCTACCGACAGGGTTTGTAACTGTAGAACTGATATTTCAGGCCTATGTAACTGTTGTTTGTGAGTGCGTGTGTAACAGACGCACGCACCCCCACGCACGCACAGGTACCCAAGCACGTGCCTGCGTGTATATATACGAATTAGTTACCCGGTGAGGTCTCCTTCCATGTTCTCTATGTGGTAGAAGCAGACTGCAGTTACCTGATCTAGTTCTTTCTCTGTTTTGGGGACTCTTAGACGAGTTTTTAATTTTTTCCTTGTTTTGAAAGGAATGATGTTTTTTAAAGCTGGGGTTGGAGCTAGGGGGAAGGGATCGGGGCATGACAAAGAAAAACCACAGCCTTTTTAGTACTGGATTTTAAAAAGACGTCTTCTCAAACACGAGCACTTACCACTAGGGCTAACTGTGGGCAGGCTCTGCATTGTTGAAGAAAAATTTAGGGCGAGGATTCATTACACTAGCAGCGTTATCTTGCTTGTAAAACAATGAGATGCATTTTTTTAAAGAAATGTTATTTGCATATCTTTTTAAATGTCATTTTTAAAAATAAATAAACCACCAGCTAGGATTTGACACAGGCCACTTA